GAGTGGAACTGCCCCAGAGAGTTTCCAAGGCTGTCATCTTAAGGGAAGCAAAGCCCAAACCACACCCACTGCTGTGGAGTCCATTCCGACCCACAGCACCCCTAGAGGACAGAGTGGAACTGCCCACAGGGTCTCCAAGGCTGTCAATCTTCAGGGAAGCAGACAGCCTCATCTTTCTCCTGAGGATCAGCTGGAGAGTTCAAACTGCTGACCTTTTGGTTCGCAGCCCAGTGCTTTAGCCACACCACCACCAGAGCTCCCTCCTTGGAGCTCCTGGCTCAGCAGCTAGAAAAGACAGCAGCCTACCAGCACAGGCCCGGGGTGGAGCCGGCAGGACTTCCATGGAAAGGGCAGAGGAAGCCCACCCCACCACGCCCCTAGTCCTGGCAGGCGAGAACATGCACTCACAATGTTTAAATCTTCCAGCCTCACGTTGACTTCAGCCAACATATGTCTGCGCTCCGCTGCAAGCTCGGGGCAGGGGTAGATGGTGGCTCGAAACCTGTGTTGGAGGAAAGGCCATGCGTGGGTTATCCCAGAAGAGCAACCCGCCTCCCCTCTTTGGCTAAGCCAGCAGGTGCTGACTTTGGTTGGACAGTGGCCTTCCAGAACAAGCACCTCCTTGGTGATGAGCACATAAGCCCCAGTGATAAGCATCCCTAATGATTCATTCAAATATCCCTCAACTCGGGCCTGGACTTCCATTACAGGAAGGAACTTCATCCAGACCAAAGCCCGAGAGCCGCTCTGTCCACGAGGCTGCAGGCCCTGCCTGTCCTCCACCCAGAGGTCATCCACGTGGCAGGGACTTCTCTGCTGAGCCACTGTGCCGTTCCACACATCGGCAAGAAGCCCGCCATGCACTTGCCTACCCTCTAGCCACTGATGCATCAGGAACTCTGGTGGCCCAGTGCTTGAGGCCTGTGCTGCTAACTGAAAGGTCGGCGGTTCAAACCCACCATACACTCTGTGGGAGAAAGATGTGGCAGTCTGCTTCTGTGAAGATGACAGCCTTGGCAATGGGGCCGTTCTACCCTGTCCTGTAGGGCGACTATGGATGGGAATTAACACTACATCAATGGGTGTGTTTGGTTTGGTTTTTAGCCTCTGAAAAGGGGTGTTGCCATGGTTGTTGGTCACCATGGTGCCAAAGAGCCTCTGGTGGGTCCCAAGTGCTGAGCCACGAGGCAAGTACTTAACTCTTTGGGCCACTGGCCTGGGCCCCAGTGAGGAGTGTGACGGAGAACAAATGGGAGGGGTTACTGCCACCTGCCCACCCCGTTACAGGTGTCTAGTTCTCTCTGTGCCCAGGCCCTCAGGCGCTGAATGCCGGCCGCACTCTCAGCACCCCCTGTCAGATGTGCCGAAGAGCGGAAGCCCTCGCCAAGCCCCCGTGAGACGTGTTTGGTGTGGCGTTCCCCTTCACCAGTCCCGACTCAGACCCCAGATGACGGGACCCCACGGCCCATCTTACCCGTCACAGATCTTCCTTATTTTCTGCCTGAGCTGCTCTCCCTGATAAAATATGATGAATATATTCTTCTTAATTTCTTCTTTCTGGAAAACCCAAACAAATTTAAAACAATTTTTCTTTCCAGTTAGAATGTAATAAGGAGAAATGTTCGGTCCTATTTTTAAGTTTCATCAACAATACGTCAAATTGGAAAAATCCAACTTCCCCCAGCTCACTCCGGCTCAGAGTTCATGGTAGTTGACAGCAAGTCCAAGGGCACGGTGGTACAGGGCCCCACAGAGGCCACTAAACCCAGCCAAACAAGTTGCCATTGAGTTAATTCTGACTCACGTCTGTCAGAGCAGAACTGTGCTCCATAAAACTTGCCAAGTTAACAGTGTATACCCCTCAGGGGCCCTGGAAAAGAGCCCCCCGAAGCCCTGTTATTCTAAGGGTGTGGTTGTCAGCATCACCGGGGAGCTGGTTAGAAACGTAGACTCTTAGGGCCCACCCAGAGCCCCTGAGTCAGATGCACATTTAACAGGGTGTCCAGACGGCTCCAAGCCCTGAGGCTGGGGCAGTGCTGGCCCCACCCGGTGGCCTTTTCTTTGCCCTGACCCCTCACTGCCCCTTGGTGGTGGTGAGTCTGAGTTTCCTGGGGGAACAAGCCCACGAAGAGATGGGGGCAGGAGTCAGAAGGAGCCCTGGGGACACAGTCGTTAAGAGCTCAGCAGCTACCCAAAGGCAGGCTGTCCGAACCGTCCGTTCTGTCAACATTACCAAAACCAAGCTCACTGCCATTGAGTCGATTCTGACTCATAGAGATTCCCATTGAGTTTCTGAGGCGGTAAGCCTTTATGAAGGAGGTTGCCCCATCTTCCTTCCAGAGAGAGGCTGATGGGTTTGACCCACCAACTTTCTGGTTAACAGTCAAATGCCTTAGGCACTGTGCCACCAGAGCACCTGTCCCTGAAGATTTCAGCCTTGGAAGCTCTATGGAGCAGTTCCGCTCTGTCCTCTAGGGGCGCTGTGGGTCAGAATGGACTCCAGGGCAGTGGGTGTGGTTTGGGCTTTGCTTCTGTGAAGATTGACAGCCTTGGAGACCCTGTGGGCAGTTCCACTCTGTCCTCTAGGGGCGCTGTGGGTCAGAATGGACTCCACGGCAGTGGGTGTGGTTTGGGCTTTGCTTCTGTAAGATTGACAGCCTTGGAGACCCTGTGGGCAGTTCCACTCTGTCCTCTAGGGGCGCTGTGGGTCGGAATGGACTCCATGGCAGTGGGTGTGGTTTGGGCTTTGCTTCTGTGGAGACTGACAGCCTTGGAGACCCTGTGGGCAGTTCCACGCTGTCCTCTAGGGGCGCTGTGGGTTGGAATCAACTCCACAACACTTAACAGCAAGCACAAGTCAGTCCTTGAGTCGACCTTCACATGTGAAGAAAACAGAGACAGAGCAGGGAAGAGAGGAGGGAAGGACGAAAAGAGAGGAAACAGATCCTGGCGTCGCAGAACTAGAGCCACGTTGGAGAGGAGAGCCCAGCCCCTCTGCTGAGGACTCCAAAGCAAAGGCTTCGGCAGCCGGAGACACTCACGGTGACAGGGTCCTGCAGGGGCACGTCCATCTCACTGAACTTCAGGTAGACGTTTCCGCGGCAAACGCGCCACAGCAGCCTCTCGAAGGCAGCCAGCCTCTCTCTGTCGATGACGCCGGCGGTGAACCTGGGGTCACAGGAGGTACCGCTGAGGCCTCGGGGAGGGGTGTGGAGAGGCCGCCCAGGACCGAGATGTGCAACCCAAAAACCCGGGAGCTCTGGGAGGAGGGAGTTACTAGACACCACTCCACCCGGACCAGCGGGTTCCAGGGGCCACCACAGGCCACCCCGCACCCCAGCCCAACTTGCCCCAGTGCCTTTGACCTTGTTTCCTCGATCCTGTAAAATCATTCCATTACAGCATACGCTTATTTGCCATTGACAGACATGACAGACCACGGTAGCATTGTCGCTAACGGAGGCAAATGTCAGAACTCTTCCACAGTGGTCTCTAGGCCTGTAGGCAGTAATGCAGGGCGAGTGCAACACCACCTGACTCCTGAGCGCCTCTGCTCTCCGCACCTTCCAGTCCCTAGATGAGTTCTGACCCAGCCTTCTCATGTCTGCCTTAAGTGGGTGCTCTCATTGGGGGTCTGTAGGTTTCAATGTATAAGCTGTAGACTGAACTGCTTTCTCAACAGAACTTTAAAAAAAAAACTAATATATTAACTAAAATACCCAAGCCACAGTATTTTTAATAGCCCCATACGCATGTGAAAGCTGGACAAAGAACAAGGAACACCGAAGAAAAGTTGGTGCCTTTGAATTGTGTTGGTGAAGAATACTGAAAGTACCACGGACTGCCAGACGAACAAACAAATGCATCCTGGAAGAAGTGCAGCCGGAATGCTCCTTGGAAGCAAGAAGGGCCAGACTTCATCTAACCTACTTTGCTCATGTTGTCAGAAGGGCCCTCTCTCTGAAGAAGGGTGTGACGCTTGGTTAAGTGGAGGGTCAACAAAAAGGGAAGGCCCTCAACAAGATGGACTGACACAGTGGCTGCAATGATGGGCTCAAGTATAGCAAGGGTTGCCAGGGTGGTGCAGGACCGGGGGCACTATTTTGGTCGCTGTGAGTCAGAATCGACTCAACGGCACCCAACAACAACAACATACTTTTTCTTTCTGTTTCTAATTCAACGCCCTATGCCTGGCACATTTAGTATCTGTTGAATGAAAACTTAGAGTTCCCAAACTCTCCCCTTTCAGAAATACTTTACAATTCACCTGTGTTACTTGGATGTTGGGAGGAATCCCACTATTCTGAATCAATATTTTGATGGAAATAATCATGGCATATTCCTGCAACTCATTTATGACTTTATTATGTAACTATCTCATTTCTAACTACATGTAAAAATTCAAACTCCCAATTAACTTTATTACCAAGGTAGTATTTTAAGGATAAAGCCAAAGCAGATCCCATAAGCCTTGTCCCAAAGCTGGGGTAGAGTTGAGAAAGCCCGTCTAAGCAGTGCTCCCCACGTCTTTCCCTTGTGGAGACAAAACCAACATTGTATTCTTCGGGCTCGAGAATACCCGGGATCCTCATCAACGAAAAGGTAACACTTCCTCCAACTCCAGCAGAACTTATCAGGCTACAAACACTCGGGTCTATTCCTGTGTGTTGTCGAGTCAGCCCCTAACTCATGTACACTGTGCCCAATGGGATCTGACCATTGTGCTCCCTAAAGTTCTCATTGGCTGATGGTGGTTATTCCTGAGGTACACTGGCTGTGGATCCAGCCCGGGTGTCCTAATGAAAACAAGAACTCCACCACTGAACTGCCACCGTCCCCTTGGACTGTGAGGTGGCCGTGTCTTCATGTGACATAGCCTGGTTCTGGGGGATTCACGCAGCCAGAAAGTCTACCAGATGCCAGACTTGATGCTCAGGGCCAGGAACTATGACATGCAACGAGGAGAGCAGAGTTAGATTGTTAGGGGTTGAACTGTGTACCCCAAAAGGACATGTTGAACCCCTAATCCTGGTACCTCTGGGTGTGACCCTGCTGGGAAAGCGCTTCCCCTTTGTTATGTTAATGAGGTCAGGCTGCAAGGAGTGGTCCCACCTAAACGTATACCCTTCTGAGTGACGTCTTCTAGACCCACAGACACAAACCCAAAAACTCCACTGCTGTCGAGTCGATTCTGACTCACAGTGACACTTTAGGACAGAGTTGAACTGCCCCATAGGGTTTCCAAGGCTGTATCTTTGTGGAAGCACAGTGTCCCATCTTTCTCCTGCAGAGCAGCTGGTGGGCTTGAACCAACAATGGGTTAGCAACTAAATGCTTTAACCACTATGCCACCAGAGCTCCTTCAAAGACACATACGCAGGGGAAAGACAGAAGTCACGCAAGAGAGATGCGTCCACAAGCCTAGGAACGGCAAGGGCGCCAGCAACTGCCAGAAGCTGAAAGAGGCGAAGAAGAGCCTCCCCCTAGAGCCACATCCCAAATGCAGACGTATAGTCTGCAGAACTGTGAGAAAACATTTCTGTTTTTGAAAGCCACCCACTCTGGTGCCCCAGTTTGGCAACATGAGGTTACTGAGACGTGCACTAACCCCAGCTTCCCAGGCATCGATGCGGGCGAGGTCCGTAACTCCAGGAGCCCGGAAGTATCTTCCATAAAGAAATCATCAGCTAGGTTGGCTTCAGTCTGGAAGTCAAGGCAACACCCCCTTGATTGACATGGACTTTGGCTTCCTGAAAAGCACCTGCCCTCAAGATTTGGCCTGTTTTTAGTGAAGATTTAATTTTCCACTAGTAGTTACGAGGATGCAAAAAGTCGAGTGCTCCTAGACAAAGAACACTTCCTTGTCTCCCAAAGTCTGCCCAGACCCGCGGCTCCGCGCTGTCCCGCGCTCCCTCTCTGGGCTGCTTCAAGCACACACTTTGGAAGGAACACCGCCTTCGACTCCCCCAGCCCCAAGTTGTCCCACTCTCCCCCAGCAATGAGCTAGCCGTGGGCAGAAACAAAAGCTTCCAGTTTTCAAAAGGTAAATGTGAGGCTGTAGGGAGTGAGCCTGAGGCCTGTTGCCTTCAATTCTGACTTCCAGTGACTCTCGAGGACAGACTAGAGCTGTCACATGGGCTTTCCTGTAATCTTTGCGGAGCGGAGCAGCTGGTGGGTTCATACCACCGACGTTTTGGTTAGCAGTTGAGCACTCAACCACTGTGCCACCAGGGCTCCTCCTAGGAAACAGGACCCCCCGTGATTAAACAGGCCCCATAATGACCTCAAAGAAGTCCTGGGTTTTCTTCAGGAGATGTTTGAGTTCCGTGAGTTGTAGGAAGTTTTTCTTCAAATCTTGCTGGTTGTGGTTCGCTTCCTGTATCTCTCCTTCTAGTTTTTCCAGAATAGTCTATGCAGGAAAGAGAAATGGGTAAGCCAGGCAGAAAGCGCAATGCTGTTCTTAGCGAAACATCAGCCCCAACCAATAACTGAAACTCAAGTCATTCAGCTCATCGTAATGAGCTCAGTCTCTGTGACAGAACTGCAAGCTAGAACAGTTGCTCACTCTTCCTCGGGCTCCATCACAAACGGAGAGGATTGGAAAACACGTGGTGGGGCAGGGGAGGGATGGGGGTGAGGGATGGCGGGGCGGGGGGAGGTAAGACGACTTAGTGCAGAAGCAAAGGCATCATAGGAAATCACACATCACACGTCACACGGTTCTCTAGACAGGATGGATACAGTGAGCTGAGGCCCTGTGAGCTCCCTCTGCCCAAACACAGCAACCAGGGGCATGATATAAAAAGAGAAACCCAGACTCACCCCCACTCCACACCACTGCCAGTTCTGAGCTGGGGCCTGGAGAGCCGGTACGGACCAGTGAAAACTGGTGATGCAGAGAGCAAGAGAAAAACAAAAACACAGCCCCCCCAACATGGTAAAAAATTCCCCAGAGGAGGTTGCACAACATGACAGTGTGTCCGATACTGTTGCACTGTGCATGTAAGGAGCTCTGGCGGTGAAGTGGTTCAAGCATTCAGCTGCTAACCCAAAGGTCAGTGGTTCAAACCCACCAGCTGCTCCGCAGAAGAAAGATGAGGCAGTCTGCTTCCGTAAAGATTTACAGCCTTGGAAACCCAGTGGGGGTTGCTATGAGCCAGAATTGACTCAATGGCAGTGAGTTTGGTTTTGGTTTGGTCCATGTAAAAAATGCTGAATCAGCAAAGACATTGTTTTTACATGTATTTTTACCATCTTTTCAAAACAATTGTAAAAAGAAAAATCATCAGCAAAATCACCAATCAGAATGCAAAATCATATCCAGTGAAATTCTTTTTACTGAATAGTCAGAAAAAGATTTTTTAGAATGTTTATGAAGAAATACATGAAGGCATTATATCTACTAAAAGGAAAAATAAGAAATTAAGAAACAAGCATACTAAAATGTAAGAACATATAGATAGAAAAGGGGATTATTATAAATTTTGGAAATGCAAAGTATAGTTATTGAAATTAAAATGAGAGCAATGCTATACTGGACCCAATTTATGAATACAATACTGAAACTTAAAGAAAAAAATTATATATAAAAAATGAATAATGTATCTATACTGCAAGGAATTATACTCCAAATTTGAAAATCTAGAAGAAATGGACAGATTTCTAGAAACATATTACTTACTTAAATGAACACAGACTGATGTGGAAAATTTGAATAAACTCATAACAAAAGAAGAAATTGAACAGGTCATTAAAAAAAATTACCAGCAAAAAAAAAAAGCCCTGGCCCAGAGAGTTTCGCTGGAGAATTCTACCAAACGTTCAGGGAAGAACTGACACTAATCCTACTCAAATTATTCCAGAACATGGGAAAAAGATAGAATCCTCCCCTAGATTCATGATACGAAGTAAGCATAACCTTGAAATTAAAACCAAGCAAAGACATCACTAAAAAGGAAAACTACAGGCCAGTCTGCCTCATGAATATAGATGCAAAAATCTTCAACAAAATCCTAGCCACTAGACTTCTAGCCAATAGAATCCCAGACAACATATCAAAAACAATAACACATTATGACCAAGTTGGGTTCATACCAAGTATGCAAGGATGGTTCAACATTAAGAAAACCATCAACATAATCCATCACATAAATAAAACCAAGGAAAAGAACCACATGATCCTATCAGTTGATACAGAAAAGGCATTTGATAAAATCCAACACCCACTCCTGATAAAAACTCTCAGCATAGTCTGATGCCTTTGCATGGTCAATAAAACACAGGTAAACAACATCTTTCTGGTATTCTTTGCTTTCAGCCAAGATCCATCTGACATCAGCAATGATATCTCTTACCCCATCCTCTTCTGAATCCAGTTTGAATTTCTGGCAGTTATCCATTGATACACTTCAGCAAAATTTACTTGTGTGTGGTATTAATGATATTGTTCAATAATCCACATTCTGTTGGATCATCTTTTTTTGGAATAGGCACAAATATGGATCTCTTCCAGTCAGTTGGCCAGGAAACTGTATTCCAAATTTCTTGGCATGTTCAAGTGAGTGCTTTCAGTGTTGTGTCCGTTTGTTGAAACATGTCGAGGGGTATTCTATCAATTCCTGGAGCCTTGTTTTTTGCCAATGTTTTCACTTTAGCTTGGACTTCCTCCTTCAGTACCGTTGGCTCTTGATCTTATGTTACCTCCTGGAATGATTGAATATCAACCAATTATTTTTGCTGCAGTGACTCTATGTATTCCTTCCATCAGCTTTTGATGTTTCCTGCATTGTTCAATATTTAGCCCATAGAGTCATCCAGTACTACAACTCAAGGCTTGAATTTTTCTTCAGTGTTTTCAGCTTGAGAAATGTCCTTTTGATTTTCCAACTCCAGATCTTTGTTGTTGTTATGTGTCATCAAGTTGGACCTGACTCATAGCGATCCCTCCTTCGGTTTCCAAGGCAGTATCACCACGGAAGTAGCCTCATCTTCCTCCTGAGGAGTGGCTGGTGGGTTTGAACTGCCAGCTTTCTGGTTAGCAGTCAAGTGCCTTAGGCACTATGCTACCAGGGCTCCTTCCAGATCTTTACACACATTTCATTATAATACTTCACTTTGTCCTCTGGAGCTGCCCTTTGAAATCCTGTTCAACTCTTTTCTCTTGTCATTTCTTCCATTTGCTCTAGCTATATTCCTTTCAAGAGCAAGTTTCAGAGTCTCTTCTGACATCCATTTGTGTCTTCTCTTCCTTTCTTGTCTTTTTAATGACCTTTTGCTTTCTTCCTGGATGATGTCCTCGATGCCATCCCACAACTTGTCTGGTCTTTGGACACTGGTGTTCAATGCATCAAACTTATTCTTTAGATAGTCTCTAAATTCAGGTGGGATGTACTCAAGGCCCTGTTTTGGCTCTTGTGGACTTGTTTGCATTGTCTTCAGCTTCAACTTGAACTTGCATAAGAGCAACCAATGATCTGCTCCTCATTTGACAGCTGGCCTTGTTCTGACTGGTGATATATTGAACTTCCCCATTGTCTCTGTCCACAGATGGAGTCAATTTGATTCCTGTGTATCCCATTTGGCAAGGTCACATGTATATTCACTGTTTATGTTGTTGAAAAAGGTATTTGCAATGAATATGTCATTGGGCACACAAAATTCTATCATGTACTCTCTGGCCTCATTTATGTCATCAAGGCCATATTTTCCAACTACTGATGCTTCCTCATTTCCAACTTTTGCATTCCAATCACCAGTAATTATCAATACATCTTGAATACATGGTTGGTCAATTTCAGACTGTAAAAGCTGGTGAAAAATCTTCAGCTTCTTCATTTTGGCTTTAGTGGTTCATCTTCAGTCAATAATACTGAGAAGACAAATTTCTAAACTCCCTTTATGTAACATTATTAACACAGCATCATGGGAGTGTGCCATCAAGTAAGGGAACTGGTTTTTTAAGCTCATATATGAAACATATAATGAACTCAATTTGGAAGTAAGACTACACGTGGGCAATTTAAGAAAATCAAAGGAGACTTCCAGTAAGATGGAGGAATAGGCAGAAAAGCAACACAGACCCTCTTCAACAAAGAAAAGAAAAACCAATTGACAGAGATACAGAAGATAATCCTGGTACCCTGAGCTTTGAAAGGAACTATACAGAAGTGGATTAGGCACCAACTAGTGGAAAAACCTGAACAAAAACAGTAAGTGCAGAGACGGTCAAGCTGCGAACTGTCAGCTACTCTGATGAGACCAACAGCCTAAATATTTCCAAGTGGTGTTGGGACCTGAGAATTGACCTAAAGATCAGTCCTGGTCACCAAGGGCTATAGGGACAACTTCTCTGGTGGCCTAGGACTAGGAAGGGAAACAGCAGGGAGGGAGACAACCTGAGCTGTGGACATTCTGCTGTCTGGAGGGCACAGCCATTTTGATTGTTTGTACATGGCAGCCATTTTGGATATTTAAAGTGACTAAGGGTGCAGCCATTTTGAATGTTTACAAGCGGCAGCCATTTTGGATTTTAAACTGATAGCATTCTCATTTGGATTCCAGGGACCTAAGAACAGGGTCTGTTTGCCAGGAGCAGCAAGGACATAAGAGAGGCTGACAAAGGAAAGGAGACAGGTGGTGAGTGTATAAGTGCTGTCAACTAGTGAATACAGGAGCACAGCACAGTACCCTGCCTGTATAGATAACATACAAACTAAATAAAGAAAATGAAAATTGTGGGCAACTCACTCCAACATATAATCACCAATTAAATATAAACACAAAAACGTCACAATGCCTTGGAGACAACAGAGCATCACAGTCCATACAAAGAAGCAAGATAAAGCAGGAGAAACAAGGAACCAGGATACAGACCCAAAACACATCCCTGACGAAGATGCAGCATTGGAACTCCCTGATAAGGAATTTAAAAAGAATTATATTTAGGTATCTTCAAAGGATTGAGAGACAGACCAAGGAAAACACAGACAAAACCCTAGAAGAATTTTGGAAGAAAATACAAGAAC